CTTTAATGTTACATCTTGTTTAGTGTCGTCTACTTTGTTTCTGATGTGCTTTATTCTTCAGTTGGAAGCAATGGGCTTTGATCGTGGGCATGTCATCGAGGCATTTTTAGCCTGTGATAGGAATGAGGAGTTGGCTGCAAATTATTTGTTAGAACATGCTGGTGATGAAGACTGAAGGTGAGTCTGATGCCTGCATTCTTCCGGTTTTTGCTCCTCTACTGTTTTAGCTTTTGATTCTCAGCTGAATTAGTCTCTTTTTCTTGCTCCATCTACTTCTATGCGAGAGAAACCTGGCATTCTCGAAGCACTATGCTACATATTATAGTATATAAGTGTGCTGGAAAACGTAGTCCCAAATACCTATGTTGCATTATAGCTTTAAATCGTGTCTCAAAAGGAACCCAAGGATTAAGCTCCGCAGGGAAACCACTCAGCCAAGACTTCTCTAGATTTAACCATAAGTGGTGAATCAAATAAAAAGACCAAGTTCTTCGGTACTCCTGTCTATACTCTAGAGTATCAAGCTTTTCTATAACCTTGCCAGACCCTACAGGCCAGGTCTACAGCAGTTTCAGAAATATTCATATCATTTTGTTCAAATGAAGAATGCAAAGACTATTGTCCATGTTTGGAATGAGTGGCTAACTCCACCCCCACCCCACCCCCACCCCCACCCCACCCCTCAAAAAAAAAAAGTACTAAGCCTATTCGTTTCTGAACTTATCATAAAACATAAATAACATATGATTTTTGTTCCAGGTAGCTTGGATATCATCATATAAAGTTGTCGACACTCAAAATGATACAATTTCTTTCTCTACCACACAGTGGCAAGGTGAAGGCAAGGTCCTATACGTACTCCTAGAAAGTTTATGGAGTCCAAAAATTGTTTCCTTGTATGGGTCTACAACCCAAATAGTTTTCTCATCGAACTGCTTATAATGATAAAAAGTTACAGATAATACGTAACATTTTTTGAAGATTTTTACATGACGTTACAACTTTAGTCCTGGGCTCTACTATCTAATTCGGAGTCCTTTATTTGTCTGTGATTCCTTATTGATACTGAATTGAAGGTGGAGATGCATTATGCCATTCTTTGTTTCAACAAGTTGATGTCTAATTTTTTTTGTGCAGTTAAAAAACTTTTATTAGATTGTATTTTCTTCTTTCTTGCAACTTTGCTGTTTGGTGAACTTGGTCTATATTTTGATTCAACAAAACCTCGCATGCCCCCACCCCACCCCCACTTCTTGCTCAAGGGAAGTGCAGAAGCTCTTGAACCACAGGCCACAGCCTGGTTTCTTTCTTCTTCCTCTATCAAGGGTTGATGAGGTTCCATCATAAAGCAAACATTTCAAGATGTTTGACGAGTTCTTATGATCAAATATTTAAGTTAACTAGTGATACGTTAATTTTGGATTTTCTTTTTCAAGATTTAAGGTTTTGGTACTTGTACTCATCTAAGATCAGGCGTTTAAACAAAAGCTGTTCCTGTGGATGCCTAATATACCATATCATCACTGTGGAGTAAGGGGACCATCATCACTGTGGAGTAAAGGGGCAAATGGTAAAGCAAATTCATAACCATATCTACTAAAGCCGGATACAGATACAGATGAGTATGCGGATATATAAGCGGAAATTCATGCAGATATAAAATGAATATGACAACTAGATAATATTTGCAAAAAATATATAGTTCATATAATGCACAAAAGGGATATGACAACTAGATAATATTGAAAAATGAATATAGTTCATATAAAGAGTTCATAAAGAGTTCATTAATATGTTTATTATATCTAAAAAACTAAGATTAGATCTCTTGATCATTAAAATTAGCCTCAAATCCGTTAACCTAATGCTTAATACTGTTGCAGCTATATGACTAAAATAAATTAGGATACGGATCCGGATGTTTCACTACATAACCATATCCGTTACTATATCCTATCCTATCGGAACAATATCATTTACCATATCTTATCGGATATAAATTTTAGTAACCATATTAGCATTTTAATGAATATGGATATGGATATATTCTCGGATATAGATATTTTCGTGCAACCCTACTGGGAAAATACGAAGTTGAGAAATTTATTTATTTATTTATTTATTTTAGAGAAATGAAGTTGAGAAGATTGATATTTCTATACTGTAGAAAATGGGAGTTCTGGATTTGAAATTTCATTTACGTTTCGAAGCACAGTTTTAGCTAAAAGAGTCCCAAACCAGAATCCTGTGACATGAACGAATCTACAATAAGAAACAAATCAATAACTCACTCGTTAACATTCACACAAGACACTCTAATTTCCCCGCGCTCCCCAGTCTTCACACCAACACCAGCAAGCTTCACAAAAGACTCTCGCCACTTTGCAAAAAACTCATCTTCATCCTCTGCCAACCTCTCGACCTTTCCCTTTGTTCTCTCATCAACAAAAAGAACAGAATCCGACTTAAAAAGTCCTCTACCATCCAAAAGATTTCTATAATACTGGTTATCGAACAAAGAAGCGGTCACCATATCGTTACTAACTGTAACAGTATCATTTGCATTGGCAGGGCATTGCTTTATGAGCTCTGTTGCAAAATCTTTTTCCATACTAGAATCAATTGGAACGAGATTTCCTTTTGAGTCTTGTTGGAATCGCTCGCTGAATGAAGTGCAGTGGGCTGAACCGATCGTGTGAGCTCCTGAAAGAATGACTAAGTCGTCGATGGATAAGCCTTTAGAGGAGAAGAGACGAGCCATTTCGTCGAGGGAGAAACCTGTGTCGATCATGTTGGGTCTAACGTTGGATATCGATGACGTCAGGCCGTCTCTTCTTCCTAGTGGAACTTGAACTGATGGTCCTCCTGCCTGCGATGTAAGTGAGTTGAATAGAGAACAAACGAATGATTTCTGGGTTGAAGTCTTAACTCAGGGAAGGACTTAGTAATAATTGTAGTTGGCTGAAGCCTGTTACATTCTCAGTACTCTTGGACTGCTACTGTTTAGAAATTAGTCTTCGGTTGGAGTTGCAAGAAGGCTAAATTTAAAAATTTGCGGCCTTTCCGCAAGACCCCCTCAGCTTTGTTTTCTCACAAAACCCCTAGCTGAAAGGAGTCTCAAACGACCCTCCTAAAACTTTTTAGCTTTACCCACAGCCCCCTAAAAAGCAAGTAGAAGAGGAGAACATGATCCCCAGATGAACGAGGAAAGAACAGAGTTGGACAAATAATAAAATCCTCCAATGGCAACAGATGTTTTTTTGGGGGTTTTGCGGGAATAACTTAAAAGTCTGGAGGGGATTATTTAAGCTAATGTGAATGTTTTTTTGTTTTTTTTTGGGGGGGGTGGGATTAGTAGGGAAAACAAAGTTCAACTGTTACATCCCACGGCACGCCTATCATCTTGACTGCTCTTTCCTAGTTCTAGCTCAAACTCAGAACTTATAACCAACAATGTAGCTGTTTCTTCAAGGATTCTCAATAAACAAACAGACTCAATACTTACAATCTCCACAGCATCCCTAGCTGCAAGAACCAGAATATCAGCACAAGACACCGTCCGTGGACACAACGCTTCGATCATCCTCTTCGCCTCTTCGACAACCTCAAAGCCCCCGAGCGATCTATTGGCCGGATCGCTTCTCTCCGTTCTGTTCCCTTGAACTAACACCGACCCATCACATCCCTGCATAGCAATATTTGAAACAACATCTTCATAATCTATATTGTTTATCGATCGAAAAGTGAACCCATCGTCGTTTGACCCTCCATCGAGCCATGTGAAAAGTTCTATTAATTCAAAACCGTTAAAATTGATACGAGTGGATTTCCGACCGTTTCGGCCTGTTTTGACCCGTGCGAGAAAAACTTTGCGGAATTCAAAATCGCGGATTTCATGAGTTGCAACCCATGATTTTTAACCATTCTCCCCGGTTTTGGCCCGGTGGCAAACAATTAGGCGGAGTTCAAATTTTATGATTTCACCTATGCGGGCCGCGGCATTGGGAAGACCCATCTTCACTCACGTTACCGCGGGGGCTCAACCTGACTGACATAATTTGTCTCTCGCGTGCATATATAAATCTTTGTCAGTCTGGTAGTTAGAAAGCAGTTAAATAAAAATACTTCGCTTCACTATAAAGGTGTTTGGACATCTATTGTAGCAACAACGAATGCTATGCTCGACATTGTCAAGTACTTAATTAGAAAGAAAATAGGGTTAATTTTGCCCATAGAGCACTCGAGTGAAATACTTTTCTGCCCTGCGAGAAAAAAAGTTTTTTTTTTTTTTACTTTTTTCTTTTCCCCAACGAATAGACCCCCTAATCATAAAAGAGTCTCCCTCCACAAAAAAAAAAAAAGAGGGATAATAAATTCAAAACAGCGATATTAGAGGAAGTCTATCTGCAAAAATGACCCTCGAAAACATGTAGGAGTGCTGTTACCTCAACGATACAGTCATGAAAGAGCAATCGAACAAGCTTTCCAAGGAGGGTGGGGTCTGTCGAAGAGGCGAAGCGTATTGTATCTTTTACAAGAAGCTCCACGTTTGGACAAGAAACGGAGTAGAAATCTGAGGAGAGATCAGACAATGAGAACGAGAACAGAAGTGGGAGGAAGAGGAAGGGACTTTTGAAATTGAGCTTCATTTGCTATTTTTTTCTTTTTCTTTTTTACTGAGATCATAAAGAGTGGAGAGCAGAGAGAGGTAGTGATAGCGGAAAGGGCGTACTCATGCATGTACAGATAGTTATTGCTGGTGGGTAGGTGGGTAGGTGAGAGATGAGTTGGATTCATGAGAGAGGAGTAATTGAGTGCGTTGGGGACATAAAGAAATGACAAAAACTAGATGGGCGAAATTGAATGAAGCCTGTGTTAATTCACTCTTTTTGACCGGATGTTGTGTGAGGGTGTGCAATGGTGCCAAGTCGCTTGAAATAGCGTGACACGGGTTCATGTCTGATACTGTTTGATGTGCAGACACAGTGAAATTTTGTATAAATTTCAAATGGGAAAATTTGCAAAATAGTCCGTTTTTACTAATTATTTAGCAAAATAGACCGTTTTGCTAAATAATTAGCAAAATAGACCTCTTTTTGGCATGTGTGGTCAACATGCCAAAAAGAGGTCTATTTTGCAAAACGGCTCAGAAAACATACGGGACTAGTAGTCCCATATGTTTTAATCACGGATTAATGAACTCAGAAAATTTCACAAAACATTGAGATGAACTCAGAAAACATACGGGACTACTAGTCCTGTATGTTTTCTGAGTCACTAATCCGTGATTAAGTTGGTTCTAAACATACGGGACTAGTAGTCCCGTATGTTTTCTGAGTCTTGTTTTTCAAAATCGATCTTCTTTTTTTCAAAAGAGGTCTATTTTGCTAATTATTTAGCAAAACGGTCTATTTTGCTAAATAATTAACAAAAACGGACTATTTTGTAAATTTTCCCATTTCAAATTGGATAAACGATGACGAGATCATGGATAATTCACAAAGTGGGTATTAAGGCACTGGGTATCGAATTTTGTTGTTGTTGCGATTAAAGTAGAAATATTCGGGTAAACTATCTCTATCGAGGAAAACTCTGTTTCTTTAGCTGTTCGTCTCGGAACTTTAGTTGTATATCTCTATCGAGAAGCCTAGAAGAGTTTAAATTTTAAGTAATGAAATCACATCATATCAATGCAATACTGAAAAAAAATCCATCAAATCTTGCTAATTAGAAATATTTGGGATATTAAGAGGGTGGTCTGGGAGCTTATTTTGTGTTCAAACTAACTTTTAAGTTAGCTTTTCCATACCTACTTGTTTGGTAAAACATCAAATAAGTTAGCTTGTAAGTACCATTTTAAAAACTTGGCGTATCCTATTTTTTCAAAAAACTAGTTTATAGGCTCACTTAAATAAGCCAAGTTTGACCAAACAAATTCCTACTCTCCTAGAAAAGTTTTTAATACAATTATTGTCATAAAAGTCAAAAGCCACCAAAAACTAAGATAGCTTAAAAGCGTATAAAAAGGCCGAACACCCTCTAAGTCTACATGGCCGGTTAACGTTAAGACTGTCGTGTGAAAGTATTCCAAGGTTATTTTCTTTCTGGACTAACCTGCATACGATGTTTCTGATATACTGAAAAGTTTCTCCCGCGGTAGAACACTAGGGGGGTCGTCCATTATAATGCTATCACGGTCAGTTTACAAATATTTTTAAAAATGCTGATCTAACTAGAATCTAGTAGTTGCTATTTGACTCCTATTTTCTAATTTTGTGGAGCCAGTCATCCACCGTCCCGTGTAAGCAAAGCTCACCCTTTACCCTTCCAAGCATTTGTGCGGACAGGAGAGAATCGTCTCTGTGAAAGCAAACAAACCCTACACAAAACAACGACGCGTCTTCAACGCCACATTCTTTTTTTTCTTCTTCTTCCCTTCTTCTTCCCCTTGCAATTGTGTTCCTCGTCGCAATGGCTCTCTCAAATCTCTCCTCCTGCTGCCTCTTCACCCCCAGCCCCTCCACCCGCACCAAAACCATCACCAGCCAAAACCTCCCCTCGAGCTCCACTTTGAGAAGCAGCACGTTCAGCGCGAGAAGACCAACAAGACCGAGCGGGAGGAGCTCAGTAGGGTGCAGAGCCTCAGTTGTTGAGGACACCAGCAAAGAGGTGCTGCTCCCCCCGGAGACTGAAGAGGAGCAGGCTGCAGGAGGAGAATATGACTGGAGAGAAGAGTGGTACCCTCTCTACCTCACCGCCGAAGTCCCCGAGGATGCCCCTCTCGGCCTCACCGTCTTCCACAAGCAGATTGTTCTCTATCGCGACGGCCAAGGCCAACTCAGATGCTACGAGGACCGGTGCCCACACAGGTATAAACATAGATATATATTTACAAGGATTGATTAAAGATACATCTCTTACTACGGCGATACCATTATTATGTTCGATATGCATCCTTACACTATTAGGTACGGATAACACAAAGACGATCCTATATTTATTATGAATATTATGATGATTGGAAGTGTTTGTGAAAATTTCTCAGACTAGCAAAACTATCCGAAGGCCAAATTATGGATGGCAAGCTAGAATGCCTGTACCACGGCTGGCAATTCGAAGGCAGTGGCCAATGCGTCAAAATACCTCAGGTGCCAAACGTCCATTTTCTTACGGGGGAAAAAAATATTTTCAATGTCAGCACTAATTCGGTGAAATTGATCATTGTAGCTACCAGAGGGAGCAAAAATACCGAGAGCAGCTTGCCTTAAGACATACGAGGTACGAGACTCTCAAGGAGTAGTATGGGTCTGGATGTCCGAAAAAATTCCACCGAACGAAAACAAGCTTCCGTTCTTTGAACACTATGCTCGTCCGGGATTTCAAGATGTATCGACAATACACGAACTTCCATATGATCACTCGATATTACTAGAAAACTTGATGGACCCCGCTCATGTTCCAATCTCCCATGATCGAACTGATTGGACAGCTAAGCGCGAGGATGCTCAGCCATTAGTCATGACAGTAACGGAGAGAAGCGATAGAGGGTTTGCTGGTCAGTGGGGAAGATCAAGGAACTCGAAGCTTATGAATAATCTTAGATTTGAAGCTCCCTGTAATTTGCAGAATAATTTAGAGTTTGTCGATAAGAAGGGAGTGAAGCAATATTTTTCTGCATTGTTTTTGTGTCGGCCAGCTGGGCAAGGAAAATCTATGCTTATTGTTAGGTTTGGAGCCAGCACGAGATCTTTTCTTGCAAATTTGCTGCCTAGATGGTACTTCCATCAGAATGCTGGCAAGGTTTTTGAGCAGGATATGGGATTTTTATCATCACAGAATGAAGTGTTGATGAAGGAGAAAGTTCCGACTAAAGAGTTGTATCTTAATTTGAAGTCTTCTGATACTTGGGTTGCTGAGTATAGGAAGTGGATGGATAAAGTCGGGCATGGGATGCCTTATTATTTTGGGCATAAAACAATTTCGTTGCCGAAGGAACCAGCTGTAGTTGAGCAAAATCCTGCTGGATTGGCTGCTGGGATTTCTGCTTCTTTTCCAGCGAAAGGGGGGATTGGAACTCACCATGCTCCGAATCCTGTGAATAGATATTTTAGACATGTGGTTCACTGTAAAGGATGTAGGAAAGTGGTTAAGACTTTTGAAGCATGGAAGAAAGCGTTGTTGTTTGTGGCTATGGCTTCTGTTGCATCGGCGATTCTAGCTTCAACAAGACAATGGAAGGTTGTTTTCATGGCAGCGGCAATACTGTTAGGGGCTGCTTCATATGTTTGTTCTGGTGCAGTTTCCCTCATCACAACAAACTTTGTGAGAATACACAGAAGATTGTGAGTATAGAAAAGAATATTCAAGTTTACCCTGTGTATTTTTGTGTTAGAAAAAAATGATATAAACAAGTAATTCTTTTCTTGCTTTTCTAATTCTTTATTACTTGCGTGGTTAAAATTCAAGGGTAAGCAATAAAAAACATTCAGTGAAACGCATTAAGCTTCTGTTCTTCTCTATAGTATCAGTAACAAGCTAAAAACAAGTGAATATACTTATATAATAGATTGGTCAAATTGTGCTGAAATTTCAAGTGTTTTAACTAGGTACACTTCGGGTTTACACAAGTTTGCTTGAATTATAGATGATTCTATGTTAACAAGAGAGATGATATAAAAAATATTTAATGAATCCCATTAAACATTACTACTTCCATAGTCGAGATTCAAAGATAAGAAACAAAAAACATTCAGTGAAATCCATTAAGCTTCCATACTTCTCTATAAAAATCAGCAACACGCTAACAGGTGAATGTTCTCGTACAACAGATTGACCCGTGGTGTTACAGAGATACCATGCTGAAATTCCAGCTGTTAAAACTTCGTATATTTTGGGTTTTACATGAGTCTGCTTGAATAAAGAGATGGTTCTATGTGGAATCAATCGACTTTATCATGTAAAATTACACTTTGTAAAGTGTGAGAGAACAAGAGCTTGGTGATGTCAATGAATACATAAATGCAAAGAAGCATGAATGATGCGGTTTCAGGAAAAAGGGAAAGTATGGCAAACAAGAAAACCAAGTAATAAATGGTCATAAAATTATGCTCTCAGGATAGAAGTTCTCTTCTTTTTGCATCCCCAGCAGGACAACTGGTTTGTCTTTCGCTTGCTCCCAAGAAATCCTTGGCAGTTTTGCGCCCCACAGAAACACTTGACCATGGTGCCAAAGTGCACAAATCTACAAAGCCAAACCATATATATCAGTAAGAAAACAATTGAAATAAAAAGCCACCTAAAAGTGTAAAAGAAAACAGAAACTGAAGTTACAGTGACATCCATTCTTGCAAATCCTTTTACAAGCATTTTACTATCACAATTTCTATGTGAATCTATAGTGATTTAAATGTAGTAGAACTTCCACTGGGAAGTAGATATTGCAGAATGCATGCTTACAGACAAGCATTAGACCCTACTATTAACTTTCAGGTCAAATTTGAACTCTAGAGACCAGGTATTTCTTTGGCACTTCCAATTTCCAAATCTAGGGAATTTCCCTTGTTAGAACCCATTTTCTGGTTCCAGAACTATTTTAAATGTGAAAATTTAGCATCTTAATAGTTAAGTTTGGAAAGCTTTCCCTTGACATCACAATTGATCAGGCCACAAAGTGAGTAAAAGAGACAAATAAAGCTAGAATTAAACACCATAAAAATGGATTTATAACAAATTTAATTACAGAATGTGTGTAAAACAAAAAAGTCTACCTGTAATCATATGTTAAAGGCTCACCAACTTCTATGGAGCGTGATGCAAAAACACCAACACGAGTCTCCCCATCCACTTGCCTACATAAAATAAAGTTAACCTCTAGTACCCCTGTACACAAATATATAGTATTATATGGAGCAAAACTTAGGCCCCTATGTTACCATTGAGTGTGTTCTCACCATTTCTCTAATTTACAGTTAGGATCACAGCTATGGTTTAAAAATCGGGCAGTGTTTCCTTTAAAAGTTGCGTCGATTGTGAAGTCCTTCCGGACTTCACACATGTAGAAGTTCTGATCACCTCGGTATTTCATATCCCAAAGCCTTTGTTCACATAAAGCATCATTGATAACTGAAAACAGAAAATAGCATAAGAGCACAAACATTTGAATAGCTAGTATATCCATAATAAATGAGAGCAACTGCTGCATAGTGCATACTAATTATCATTTAACTAGGGCTACATTCTACAAATTAGGGGAAAATATTTTGTCTTAAATGCTACAATGAAGAAACTGCATGAACACTGCTTAAAATCGTGCTGCAGAAGTAGTTTCTTACACTGAAAAAATTGTGTCAGGTTACTTACTCAGGCTATATCTAACCGCATATGCATGCATGCATGTGAGTCTGTGTGTGTGTTTATGTGTGTGTGTGCGTGCATGTGTACATACATGTACCAATATTCTCTTCTGTGCGCTATCCATCAATATCATATCAACTCCATGAACATGGGTACCTAACCTTTATTGTACCCAAATTATGTTAATCCCCTATGTAGATTTTGTACCACATGCATAGAAGTTAGTCCGTGAACTTCTACTGGAAAAAGAACATCAAACAGCCATAAGAAGACTTAACAAAATGTCATATCACATATAGTGGATATGGAAAAAGATAATTAACGATTTATAAAGTAAGGAATTTAGATAAACACTTTTTGAGGTTTATTTGCAACCTCTTATTTATGCTTGGTAAATTCCATGTGTACACTAGGTAGAGGTGGTAAACGATCGAATCGAATCGAATACTTAGGTGTTCGTATTTGTATTTGTTTAAAATTATCAAATTCGAATGCGGACTCTAATATTCATATATGGAGTTTTTCGAATTCTAACTCGAATACTTGGTATTTGATACATATTCATGAATATTCACGAATATTTATCAAATATCAAAGTATATTTATTCTGCTAAAGAACTTGATTTTTAGATAGTATTTAAGTTAATAAATAAAAATTATTCATTTATATTATATGATGTATATATATTTTAAATTCATAATTTTCATTAGAAAACTGATTTAAGATTATTTAAGTCTTAAAATTAGTACATAAAACTTAAGTAGAAATGGTAAGTGGGTTAAAAATATGACATTATATGTGCAATAATACAAATAACAAGTGATCAAATTTTAAACAAATATTTGATAGACAAACAAATCGAATATACATCTAGTTACATTCAATTCGTTAGTAAAGTCGAATACTAAAAAATATTAGTTTAGCGGTAAATGAACTACCGAATCGAATACGACCGAATACTTACCCGAACAATTATCGAACTATTTGTTAATTATTTGGTTCATTTCCACCCCTAACACTAGGAACTACATGTGTTTCTCTTTCTTATAGTTATTAATTAAAGTATTTAACAGTATTTGATGATTAAGCAACTTAGCAATCATATATGTAACTAAAGATACCATCAAACTTTATATACTCCCTCAAATACTTCTATTTACTAATTATTCATTTCTTTGATCATCAATAAAATAGATAAAGGAGAAGAACGAGAAAAAAAAACTTGGAAGGGCATATATGAGCACGTTGCAATTTAGAGTGTATGAATGGCTTTATTCCTATAAAAAAATTTATGCCCAATTTTCCTAGCGCCCTAATTTTCCTTTTACACAATTTCAGCTTAGAAGTCAATCCCATACAAAAAGAAAAAGCAAGTCTCTCAACGTGATAGCACCTTTAACTAATGAACACAAGTGACAAGAAAACACAAGCAGCATAAGAGATGTGTTTAATAAACAACCAGTTCAAAAGACAACAAATCACAACTAGATACCTCGTAAGATATTTAAAATTGTTAAGATACCTTCTCCAATGTATTCTATAACAAAGTCTCCTTTCTCCAAGGCTTCTAAGGCCACTACTCCCCATCCACAAGCTTCTGTCTGAAATGGAAAAGAATCAGAATTATTACCCAATATATTTTAGCATAACACAAGCGGATACTAAGGGGTAGCCTAGTGCACGAGGCTCCCATCATTGTGGGCTCTGGGGAGGGTCAGATGTATGCAGCCTTACCCCGCATGCGAAGAGGCTGTTTTCAGGATTTGAACCCGTGACCACCACGTCACAAGGCAACAACCTTACCGTTGCACCAAGGCTCACCCTCTAGTATTTGCTTGTGTTAGAACAACACAAGCGGATACTAAGAAATAAAATAAGATCGACTATTTCAAGTTGCCAATCATAATGAGAAGATAGACAATTTTTTTAAATTATTTTTAATTTGATGGAAAAGAATGAAAAAAATTTGATATGATCAATTGAAAATATCAATTTGATGAGGGATTCACATCTTTCTTAAGGTTATTGGTAGAGGAACCTTTGCAAACCTCAATTGATGCTTGCCAATCCACTCCATCAAGAAAAAGAATGAAGGTTTGCAATTTGCAAAAAGACAATAATCTCATTTTTTTAGTCTCTTGCACATGATATGCATGTTTCAAAAAATTCTAGACATAACTTGCACAATAACAAATGACTTATTTTTCTCTTGCTTCTTGGATGGAGATGGTGGAATAATCTGCATGAGATGGCTCATCTTCAATGCAAATTAAAATACCCTGTATCAGTGGACCTAGATTTGAACCTCACAATGATAAACACAACACATCACTTGCATGTTGCTTCCTTCATTATCAGAACTATCTAGTATAATCATACAACTAAGAAGTGCAATAACAAGATATCAAATTCCAAGCACCCCTCAATTGAGAAGTTAGAAGGATTTCTGCGTCTGAAAGGAAGGTAATGGAATTAGCACCAAGCATCAACAAGGGTAGAGGTCAGGTTACTGAGCATGCCACCAAAGCCATTCTCATAAAATTTTATTATGCACGAAGGAACCACAATGCAAAATGATCTTAAAAGAAAGTGATAAGAGAGAATAACATATACATGGCAATTCGGATCATGCGTACGATCTTAGCCTTTATGCAACATATATTTGACTAGACAAGTGGTAGCATCTCAGGTATTTCTTGTATGGACTCAAAGGTGTACCACATACATACACACCATCACCACCACTACCAAAAGAACCAATTATTTGAAGTCAACAATAACATATCATACCTTGATGACCTTGATCTTCTTCTCTTTGCGGAATGGTCTATTTGTGCACATATCTGAGCAATGGCAGGCTTTTGAACAGCTGACTGAAAGACCTCTGTTGGCATAAAAATTATATAGTGTGAATAAAAATCCAACTTATACAACACTAAAATTCCACCATCGAACCATGTTATGTGTAGTATATATATGGAAAACCGATCTTCCTTTTAAGAGACAACTTTAAAAATTGTTGTGTTTCTGAAGTGGCAAAAGGAATAATTATGAAGAAGGCAACAGTAGAAAGTCATCCAAAGCAGGAAAAACAGCATAGCTCATAAACAATCCTGAATCAACCTGTAGGCAAACAGATCTTAGAGGTAAGTTTTGAGAAACAACGCTATTATCAATAAAATAAGTTGAAAACATGAAGGGGCTTATCACACATGTAAAACATTCAGTTCAGAATCATTACTCATTAAAGCAGTACAGCCTGTTAATTACCAATATCATTTAAGCCTGTCTCCATCAGAATAGGATAAATCCCGGGAGATGGTCTAATTAAGAAGGCTTCCTGGAATGGGTGATAAAACTTGTGGGCTGAGTGTCAGCCCTTTGTTTGAGTTGGATCCTAGGCCAATACAAATAAGGAGCTTAATGTTAAAAACCTAGAAAGACAGTTTGCAGGATGACTCATGACTCATGAGACCAACCTTATGGTTCTCAAATCAACTTCACAAGACCATGAAATTATGCAAACAGTCGATATGTGCAGAAAGTCTGATGACGATACATGGCAATATGTTTTTAAACAAAAAAGAAAACAAAAGAAAGAAGAGAACATAAACATTATATAAGGGGCACTATTAGTTACCTACACTCGCAATCATCCCTACAGGTAGAATTGTTCCTACATTTTGTGCATCCAACATCAGCTTCTGCGCCATCACGTCTCTTCTTCACTAAATAGACATCTTAGTTTATTAAGGATAAATCTGTGACATAGTAAAAAAAACTTGAACAAAGAAAAAAAAGTATGTATATATATATATATATATATATATATGTATCACACATGCTAGCTTAAATCTCAATACAAAATGACTGGATAAAAAAGTTGGTGGACAAAAGGGTTCCTATCCACTTAAGTTTATATACCCTTTTATTAAACTTTGAGATTTGTGCCTTGATTTGTATCACACATGCTAGCTTAAATCTCAATACAAAATGACTGGATAAAAAAGTTGGTGGACAAAAGGGTTCCTATCCACTTAAGTTTATATATCCTTTCATTAAGCTTTGAGATTTGTGCCTTGATTTGTATCACACATGCTAGCTCAAATCTCAATACAAAATGACTGGATAAAAAAGGTGGTGGACAAAGGGTTCCTATCCACTTAAGTTTATAGGAGCTTTACATGTGTGTGTGTATGGATCTGAAGGCACTTACAACATTGCAAGACAGCAAGTATCCATAAATCTTTTAGCTGTACTATAAAGATAAATGTAAAGGATACTGCGCCTTATATGTACATAAGGACATGGTTCAGTGTTGTTCTGAGTAACATCTGTCAAGATGGAGCCAATCTTAAAATCCTCATTGAAGTATGGAAGAGGAAGGCGCTGAAATGCTTCCTACAGTTCAAGTGTTTGATATTGATCAGTTGAACACGTCAACTGATTACAGTAAACATCTAGCTGGCAATATTGTGAATCAACACTAGCTTTCCAAATAGAAGTTAAATATGAAACAAAAAATGTGTGCAATCCAATCAAAACTAAGTGCTTGGAAGCCAAATAGAAGTTAAATATGAGTCTTCTCACCTCTATGTTACTTGTGCGATCCGGATGCTGTTATCCAAAATAAATTATTCCTGTCAGACAGATTATCAATAAAAAGATCGAATAAAGAAATATGATTCTGCGGTAGGGAGCAAAACCATTTTAAACGAACAGCAAGATTAAATGCAAAGAACCTAGTAAATACCTAGGAGAAAATGACAAGAGAATGTAACATATAGTTGATCTAGAAAAATAAACAAGCATAATATTTTAAGAAAAAAGCTCCTGACAGTACATACACATGCAGTAGCATATGATAACTTACAGGTGGAGATACCAAATAAGTAATATCAAAATGATGAAAATGCTGAAGTATAACAAAAACTCAACAACCTAATTTCCAAACTGTAA